TTTGTTCCATTTTCTGTCTGGCTACGGAAGCATCACAGGGATTGGACAGCTGGTCCCGGAGGCTACATTTCTCCTCACCTCCCTCCCTTCACACAACAGTCAGGGAAGGAAAGAGAAAAATTGCAACTGACCAAGAATTAGCAAACCACAAGGGAACTCAGACATTCTGGCTTTCCAGTCTGCAGCCTGGCCTTGCACAGCCATTTCCAACCTCAGGGTGACTTCAAGAACCCAGGGTCTTCCTCCTCCACACCCACCCCTGGGCCCCTCGGCTCTCTGAGCCAGTTGGCCCTTGAGACATGGGGCAAAGGATGATGGTCTCTCTGCAAACCCCCACCTGCTCTGTCCCTAGTCCTCTTTCTACACAATGATTTCTTCTCCCTCATATTTTTATTTGCCTGTTTCATAAATCTGTCATATCACGAAGACTGAACTTTCCATGGAAAGCAGAGGCCATGCTCCCAGCAGCCCTTGTGTGAAGTGTGCACAATGCCAGGTAGAGACCTGAGCAACCTGAGCTGACTCACGCGAGGTTCCCAAGACTGGCTTCAGTCCACCAAAATAACCAGAGCACTGAGGGAGCCCAGGAGGTGGTCTCCACACCAACACACACTTCCTGGGGGCCTCACAGAGCACCGAGTAAGGACGCTGTGCAGGATGGCACACTTACGCACAATCCCAGCATGCACCACAGTCCACACTGCCATCAGACCCGGAAAGCATTCAGCCAGTTCTCTAGTGCTGCTCTGATGCGGTACCTAGAGGGGACCAGCTTCACCTGGAACCCACTCCCCTCAAATTCCAAACTAAATGCTAGGGCCTGGGGTTTCTGAGGGACAGCAGTGCAGCCCAAGAGGCAATATGGTGCATCAACTTCTAACCACTGGCAACAAAATCACACATAAAGACTTGGTGGAATAAAAGTCAGAGCCCCAGCATGCTGGAGGCTGTGGCAGGAGGATACCAAGTTTGAGCCCAGCCTGGGCAATTTGGCAACTTAGGGAGACCTTGACTCAAAATACAAAATTAAAGATAAAAGAGCTGGGGATGTAGCTCAGTGTGAAGGCCTGGGATTCAATCCTCAGCGTTACCAAAAAAAAAAAAATTTTTTTAAAGTGTCTGTTGCTAGGTGTGGTGGCACATGCCTGTAATCTCAGCTACTCAAGAGGCTGAGGGGGCCGGGGATTTAGCTCAATGGCACTACACCTGCCTCCCAATCAAAAGGTCTTGAGTTTGATCCCTGGTACGGGGCGGGGGGGGGGGTGGCGCTGAGGCAGGAGAATCACAAGTTCAAGCCCAACTTAGGGAACTTAGTGAGACCACGTCTCAAAAATTTTTTAGAAAACTAAATAAAAAGGGCTGGGGGATACACCTCATTGCTCCCTGGGTTTGATCCCCAGTACTACAACAACAACCAAACAAAGTGGCTATTATCAAACCTGGAAAAAACTAAAGATCTAAAAACTGTCATGCCAGGCATGGTGGTGCACGCCTGTAATCCCAGTACTTGGGAGGCTGAGGCAGGAGGATGATCATGAGTTCAAAGCCAGCCTGAACTACACAGGGAGACTCTATCTCAAAACAAACAAAATAAATAAATTCTGTCTTCCTTAAGAGCAAACAGTAATTTTTCCAACCCCAAACCAGTGCCGTTTGGTTTCCTTAGGTTGGTAGTGAACACTTTTTTACTACTGTTGAAGTATGTATCATGTGAACACAAGAATACAAATTCAGTTTTGTTTGTTTGTTGTGGGGTTTTTTTGGTACCAAGGATCCAACTTGGGACCTTACACTTGCAAGGCAGGTGGCAGCACCACTGACTAAATCCCCGGCCCACAAATTCAATTTTAAAAAGAATAAAATCAACACCAGGGACCCACCAAGCAAGCAGGCTAAGAAATAATGAGACCTTAGAAATTTTGTGCCCTCTCTTCATTATACCAATCTCCTTCCCCCAAAAGAGAGCCATTCTCCTCCGATTTCAGGGCTCATTATTCCCATCTGTTTTTACAATTCGTTGTTTTATTTGGTCCAGGGACATACTATGTTGCCCTGGCTGGTTCTCAATTTTTGGGCTCAAGCAATTTTCTTGCCTCAGCTTCCCAAGTAGTTAGGCCTATAGGTCCATGCCACTGTATCCAGCTACCCCATACTTTTTTTAATTTTACCACCTACGAAGACATCCATTTTGCTGGGGATTTACCTCAGTAGTTCTGCCACCTGTCTGCATTTTAATTAATTTTTTTTTTTGAGATAGGGTCTCACTATATAGTTCAGGCTGGCCTTTAACTCACTATGTAGGCCACCCTGGCCTCAGACTTGTGGCACTCCTCCTGCCTCATCCTCCTGAGTGCTGGAGGTGTCTGCTACTATGCCCAGCTACTTTTTAAAACTTTATATAATGGCATCATACTATATACATTTTTCCATGACCTGCTTCTCTTGCTCAACATAATGCTTCTGAGATTCCGCCATGCTGATGCACCTGTCTTTCTGTCTTACGGTAGGACAGAATTCCACTGTAGGGGCAGAGGACAAGCTATGGTAGTACTCTAAAGTCAGCCAGACCCTCTGACTGTGCCTGAGTGAAGGCTGTCTGCAAACAAATGTGTGAACTGTGCCGCAATCCCATGCTGGCTTCCACGAAGTGGAACAGGTAGGGGAACAATTATAGATGCTCCCCGATTGTTCTTTAGGAGCTTGGCTGAGATCTCACCCCAGCATGGAGGCCTGAGGCCTTGCTGTAGCAAGCAGAAACTTGGGCAGATGCAGCCCTCAGTGCAAACTCATCCCAGTTCCAGCTCCACAAAGCAGGAAAAGAAGGAGGGGCTGCTTTGTCCAGAGTCCTCACCTTCAAGGGCACAACAAACACCTTTGTTTGATCACAGTGAACAGCACCCAGGTCCAAGAAAAACCTACCCTTCAGACAGCAAAGCTAAATACTTAGTCTAGGAGGCAGCAAGCCAAAGGCCACCAATCTCTGTCCCAGGAAGCAAGGACAGCCCTTGAGTCTTAAAGGTTCGACTCACCATCTCCCACCATAGACCTTGAAAAGTGCATCATTGGCTGTACCTCACTTCTCAGGTTTTGGGGGTTGCAGGAAGGGATGCTGCACACAACAGTCCAGACATGAGGAAAAACCACTGCTGCCTTCACTGAGTCACTTCCAGAATGGACGCGAGACCCTCAGACTGACTCAGTTCGTTCCTATAATAACCTTGGGAAGCAGGTAATATCTTCTTTCTACACTTCAGAAAACTGGGGCTCCGAGAGATTTAGTGACTCCTCTAGCATCACACAGCAGGTAAATGACAGGACAGGCTTTGATCCATCCTCTGATTCAAAAGCCCTACACTCTTTTTTTTTTTTTTTTTTGGTACCGGGGATTGAACTTGGGACCTTGCGCTTGTGCAGCAAGCGCCAGAACCACTGAGCTAAATCCCTGGCCCAAAAGCCCTACAACTCTTATCCAGCAGACCAGCTGGAGCAGCACGTGCACAGGTGACCTTCACACACACAGAAGGTGCTGCCTTAGGTTGCGCTGAGTGGCAGCCAGGTCCGTGTGAACACAGGTCAAGTGCCAGGCTCCCCAAGAGGGTGCAGGAAGGCACTGTGCCCCACAGTGAGCCAGCACTGAATGTCTACCATTTTCTGCTGAGGTCTAGCTGCTGTTTGAAGAGGAACAATCCTCTACAGGGAGGACAACAAAGAAGAGTTATCGGAATTTAGGAATTTCAAGGTTGATCAACTAGAGAAATTCAGAGCCTAATAAACAGATGGAGAGTTCAGGTCCAAACTTGTCAAGAGCTGCCTTCCAGCCCCTGTCCAAGTCCAGCTAAAAGACCAAGAGAGCAGTTACTAAACACCAAAGCTCAACAGGTGTCCCTTTCCCCCAGCTGGTCCCTCCTGTCTGGACCATGCCTTTGTGGACATGGGATGAGTCAGTCACACCGTCGGTCCCAGTCCCGCACATCTGACAATGGATCCCATCTTGTGAGCCATCTAGCAAGTCATGGAAAATACAGCTGGTCCTCAGGCATCAGGTGACACTTCTGCAGACTCAGAGAAGAGACAGCAGGGAAATGGACCTCAGTTTCTATGGACAAACGTCCACCCTCTCTGGCCCCGATAGCTCCCAGTCCACTGCAACCTAGTAAAGCCATGAAACAGCCAAATCTGGAGAAGCCGACAGCTGTCCTTGGAGGGACCTGTCAAGAGGCTGTGGGCACTGCCTGCTATCAGGCTCCATTGTTAGAGAATTATCCCTCGCTCCCTGGGATTTGCATGAGGGGATTTTTACCAGTTACCCTTTCTTGGTAGGTGATAAAGATTTATGAAGTATATGCATAGGATTCTTTTCCTTAAAATGTCTGGGCATTCTGTATACTGTAATAAGCATTAAACAAAGAAGCAATCCCTTCCTTCATCTCTCTCAATGTAACACGCTTAAAGCTATTCAGTTGCTTTGCCTTTAACACAAGTTGTACCATTAATACAGATGTAAGATGGGAATTGTAATCAATAATATGACATTACTCGTGATATGAATAACAAGTAAAATATAACTCAGACTCTAAGTGTAGAAGGTTTTAACCAACACTCCAAAGGGAACCAAGAACCACGCCCAATTGTAGAAATGCAGTCAGGAACTTTCACATCCAAAGAACTATGCTGTGAGTACTTCTATGTGTATCCTAGAAGGGTAACTGTAGCCACCTCAGCCCTTTATGTATGAAAAAGCAGTCAGGGTCTCTGATCAACAGGTGCTTTTATCTAAACAACCAACCTACCCAGCCCCAATCTTTATCAAGGAACCATGGAGCCTTCTAAGAACCCCGAGTTCTACAGTCAGCTCTGGAACCCCTTCACATGGTCAATCAGTTGTAAGACCTCTGAAATTTGCAGCAGTTTCTGACATAAGTTTCATGACATTGCTTAGCCTGCTTTCAGTAGCTTCGAGCATGTTCCCAGCTCCTCCTCATCAACAACAGGGGTCTTACCGGGATCTCCCACCAAAGCAGTTTGTGCTGGTGGACGGGTGCCGGTTCTCTGAAGTTACACTTGACCCGCTGGACTCTCTCGAAGGCAGCTGTGATCCTAGAAAGGGGATCAATCAGAAGCAAGGACAGAAATGTTGAGAAACTCAGCCCTTATTTGAGAATTGGATTCCAGGCCCAGAACCCTGTGTACTGGGATCACCTGTCAGGATGCAGTACGGACATCTCACCAGCTGCAGACATTGGCACGAGAAGGAATAAGCACAATCGTGTGAGATTTGATTCACACCATGACACAGGGGGCTTAAACCCAGGAAACCGCTTCTCTTCTCCAAGACACCCAAGAATATCCATGGCACTAACAAGAAAATTGCCTTACACATCACGTGAACGTGGGCCTCACGAGGGTGAAATCAGATGCTAACATGCAAAGTGGTGCATGCCTGTAATTCCAGCGCCCAGGAAGCTGAGGCAGGAGGATCAAAGTTTAAGCCCAGCCTAAACAACTTAGTGACTTAGCAAGACTCTGGCTTTAAAAAATAAAAAATTTAAAAGGGTTGGAGATGTAGCTCAGACCAAAGGCCCAGGTCCAATCCCTAGTACTGCAAAAATAAAAATAATAAAACAAAAAGTCAAATCACACCATGATACTTTTACTAAAATCACAGCTTTCCTCGTCTCAGGTGAGGGCCGACAGCCTCTCCGTGGTCTCCAGGCAGTGTGACGAGGGTGGACCGGCCTCGTGCTCCCCTGATGCCGATGCCCAGGCACCTCTGTCCCACTGCAGACCTGGCCACCCTGCTCCCAAGGACCCAGCCTGCCTGTCTGAACCCCTCACAGCCCAAATCTCAGCATCCTCGGAGGACCCTTCCCTGACACCCCAGCCTAGGTGAGATCCCCCAGAGAACAGGCATCTCAGACCACTCTGTGCTTTCCCTTCCTAGCCTCTGCCACAGGATATGGCATTATTCGTGTTTATTCACTTGACATCTGACTTCTCCTGCCCCCACCATGTAGGTTACGGACTTCGAGGAATGGAAATCAGGGGAATGCTGCCCACCACCACCTGGCTAGCACTGGCCGAAACCCTGGCACACGAGAGCTGTCCAATTATGTTGGTCTGTGCCAAGTGAGGGAAGGACACTTGTTCTTCTCTGGACACTAATAGGTCCCCAAGTGCTGTCCAACCCACTAGAGGGGTTCTGGTCAGTAGTCCAACCAGTCGCTGAGATGCCACCCAACTGTCCTTGAATTAGAATGCAAACTTCACCCTCTTGAAGCTACAGAAAGCTTGTTTAGGGCCTGAGAAGTGCCACAGTTACAGTACATCTAACAAAACATTTAATGGGAGGGCTGGAGATTTAGCTCAGTGGCACCACACCTGCCTCGAAAGCACAAGGTCCTGAGTTCAATCCCTGGTACCAAAAAAAAACATTTAATGGGAAAAAATATGGAGAAACCCAGCTCGTTTCAGACCTCAGACTTCAGGGAAGAATTTCCTGCTCCACTGAAAGGTGACTAATTTCAGACTAAACAAAAGAAACAAACTACCAGCCTTCAGGACAGAGCAGGCGACACTCCAATTTCTCTGCTTTGGCCTGTCCTTTGCCAGCCTGCACCTCTAGAGCCTGTGCAGTGCCCTGCCAACCAATGCCACCTCCTCAAAACACCTTCAACCACATCAGGGTCATAACTGGACTCGGGAGAGGAAAAATGGGCCAAAGTCACATTTGCTAAAGATGTTTTCTTTTCCAAAGCCCGGGAGGGATGAAAAGATGTTTTTCTCTGCTTTCAACACGAACAATAACACACAAAGATGTGACATTTATTTTAGTCCTTGATCAGAATGCAGTCCTTGAAAAATCACATGGTGATTTTGATCGGGAGGTTAAGAAGAGTCAGGGCTGGCTGTGGGCTAAGCAACCACGAACCCTCTAGACCAGCAGCTCGCGGCACAGCCTGCCTCCTCCCGCCCGGCCCGCCCTGTCCCGGCACAGCCTTGGAGAGCAGGGCGGCACTCACCGTCTGTCACAGCACTGCCATTAGGCATGCTTCCCAGGTCAACACTGGGCCCGTCCAGGAAAATCGTCAGCTCTCCGCCTGACACAACACTGCCTTTGTTCTCCGTCTGCAGGTTCAGGGTCAGCTGCGTGTTCTCCACTGTGGGGCACAAAACGCAACATGGGTGGACTAAATCATATGCACCCCAAGTTCTGATTAGGACCTCCCATTCCACCTACTCCAGGTCCCCTGGCAATGCCTGCCTCATCTTCCAATCTGTCCCGTGCCATGAAAAAAAGAATAGGAAAGAACGTGTCTGATGGTGAATGTTGTTCTGTTAGGCTGGTAGGAAAGAATTGCTCATTTTTTTTTAAACATTTTATATCACCAGACTAGGTGCAGGGCTGTAAGAAAAAGGGGGATAAATGGTGTACAGAAGGTAATGTTGGTCATGCCCACAACCCACAGGAAGAATTAAAAGAAGAGAAACAAGCCAGGATCCCCAAGGAAATGCCAACAGGAGTCCCCTCTAGAGGAGGAAGGCAGAGGCCTAGTCTCTTCTTAACTGAGTTAAAAAGTACTTCTTGCCCTGGACATGGTGGTGCATGGCTCTAGTCTCAGCACTCAGGAGCGTGAGGCAGGAGGGTCACTGTGAGTTCGAGGCCAGCCTGAACTCCATGGCAAAACCCAGTATCAAACAAAGAAAAAGGCATTTCTTGTTTTGTTTTGGTGCTAGGGATCAAGCCCAGGGCCTGTGCATGCTAAATTTGTGCTGTACCTCTGGCTACACCCTCAACCTCAAAAGATATTCTTAAAATTTTTAATCCCGCCAAACATAGTGTACACACCTGGAGTCCCAGTTACTCAGAAGGCTGAGGCAGGACAATCACAAGTTCAAGGCTAGCCTGGGCCACAAAGTGAGACTTTGTATCATAAAAAAAGACTTTAATCCTACAAATGTATCATTTTTTAAAATAGGGGGGAATTTTAAAACCGTCAAAGCTCACTAGCATCAAGTCACCCCCATCAGTCCTGGAGAGAGACCAGGCTGTGTAACTGAGGTGAGGCCCAGCTCACCAGACCACCAGGCAAGTAAGAGATGGGCAAGCACGACAGGAAACGGAACAATTCCATAGGAGTAGAAGCACGAAACCGGGTAGGCCAGAGATGCCCGTACACACCTCAGCTCCACCACTCAGCCTGGCCACACCGAACAGTTTCAATCCAGGGAAATGCTCTGTCCCCGTCAACTGCTTCCTCCTGCTCAGTTCCTCGGTCAGGGCCGTCAGTGGTTCCCGAGCTCCCAAGTACTGAGCTCCCTCACTCCGGGAAAGCACCGCAGGTTGGAATTTCTCTCCTCCCCTGCCCCGCACTCAACCCACTACTTCATTTTCCTCCTCAGTTGCTGCTGTGTTATTAAAAGCTACCTTACCTGTTTTCAAAACAAGGCAGGGGATGATAAATAAGTTGTCTCCATCAGCCCTAAGGTAAATTTGAACTCTTTCTAGGGATTACCTCCTCTACTCCCAAACAAAATAACAAGCCAGCTTCAAATCTAAGAAACAGAAAGCCAGGTGTGGTGCGCACACCTGTGATCCCAGCACTTGAGAAGCTGAGGCAGGAGGATCACTGTGAGTTCAAGGCCAACCTGAACTACAGAGTGAAACCCTGTCTCAAAAAAAAAAAAAAAAAGAAAGAAAGAAAGAAAAAGAAATAGGCCCTCAAAAGCATCACAAAAAAAAATCTGAATGGATGCCAGGATCTCTTCCAGTAAGGTAGAAGCCAGGTAGCCTTCAGCCCTCCTAAGCATCTCTACTTCTTTAATCTCTCTTTTCGCTGCAGGAGCTCTCCAGCCCCTTTGTGTGCCTGCCCTGTTCAATGTCAAAATGTTTCTATAAAGTAACACTTGTAATTTGGAAGCTGGCCAGCTCCACTCCTTGATGTGCGTCCACAGCATCAGGGGCGGAGCCTCTGGTCCATCAAGTCCATGGGTGACTGCAGTCCAGTGACAGTGGTCAGTGCCTCCTCGTGAGATCCCAGGCCAGCTGAGCTGCTCCCAAACCCTGACCCACTCAAACTGGAGGTGATACACCTTTGTTTCTTTCCTTGCTTTTCAGTGGCAATGGGGATTGAACCCAGAGCCTTCGAATTCACCTATAGCCCCACACCTTTTTTTATTCTGAGACATGGTCTCACTTACATTCCCCAGGCTGGGCTCAAACTTGTAATCCTTCTGTCTTAGCCTCTAAGAGTAGTGGGATTCCAGACTAATGCCTCCATGCTCTGCCATTTGCTTTTTAAAGTCAGGTCGGCTGGCCATGGTGGCACGTGCTTCTAATCCTAGCACTCAGGAGGCTGAGGCAGAAGGATCGCTAAGGCCAGACTGCGTTACATAATGAGTTCAAGGACAGCCTGGAATACCCAGCAAGACTCTGTCTCAAAAATATAAAAAAGGGTCAGTGGAAGAACAGGAGAAAGAAGGAAGGAAGGGAGGGAGGGAAGGAGCGAGGAAGAGAAGCCTCTCCACTCCTATCTCCAGGTGAGGTCCAGCACCTAAGTCTCAGGCTACACACCCCGGGGCAGGGGGGCTAAGTGGGCAGGCGCTGTGAGGCACCCCAGGTTCCAACCTCACTGTTACCTAAGAGCTGTGCGGCAATTAACAAATTTCTTAGCCTGAGCATTGGCCTGCCTCCCTCTCCAGGCAAAATAGGAGGAGTCACAGCACCTCTGCACAGGACACCTGGAAAGACCTCAGCAGCCCCAAGTAAGCTCCTAAGGAGCTGCAATTTCTGTTTCTTCCTGTTGGCTTTCCTGGTTTTAGACTAAGGAGTTCTGATTTCTCTTGGTCTAACTTACTCATTTTTTGTGTGTGCTGCTCTTGGCCTTTCTGAGGCTTCTTTTTGGATTGTGGCAATAAACTCCTCAGAATCTTACAAGGTAGGCCACACAGCCATCAGGGGTGAACTGCCTTGCTTCTAGGACACCCCTGAAGGCGCCGAGCCTTGGGTTCAGAGCAGCACCGTTGGGACGGCTCCAACACGGGCACTGGAGAAGGCCTCCCGGCGTCCCTTCCTCCTGTCTCCGAGCCCCTCTGTTCTCACACGGATATGGGGTGCTTCCCCAATCCCCAACAGTAAGGTGGAGGACACCAAAGCTGCCAACTTCACCCCACGACAGTCACCTTGCACCAGTCCTCTGACAGAAGCCACAGGGACAACCTGAGCTTTCGTCCCCATGTCTCATCCCACGGCTCCCACTTGGCTCTTTTTTTTTGGTACCGGGGATCAAACTCAGGACCTTGTGCTTGTGAGGCAGGCGTCAGTGGAACCACTGAGCTAAATCCCTGGCCCCCTACTTGGCTCTTCTATCTAATTTATCCGACAACGTCTCAGCAGTGTCCTTACCTCAGAGGCTCAGAGGTCACTCTGCAAGCCTTGGGGACACACTTTACCTTCAAGAAGAGCTAGTGGGGGTGGAAGGGTGTCTTTTCTCTTTAAACATCTGAAAATATAACCATCCACTGTTTTATTTATCAAAAAGAGAGCCAGAGGGGCTGGAGATTTAGCTCAGTGGTTCTGCTGCCTGCCTCGCAAGCACAAGGTAATGAGTTCAATCCCTGGTACTAAAAAAATAAAAACAGAAATAAAAAAAAATTTTTTAAAGACAGCCAGAGAGACCCCTAGCCGTCATGATCACAACCAAGTGATCAGTTGGTGTCACTAAGAACAAGTCGCCTGATGGCTTACAGGGTGAAGCACACAATGTCACTCTTCAAGTCCTCTTGCTAAATGCATCTGACCTGAATCTAATCAGGTCTCTAAAGCCCAGGTCACATGAACTAAGGGGCAGAGAAACAGACTCAATGATACCATGAGACAAGCAGACAGATCCAGGGTGCAGAACACCTCCAGGCTAACTCTCCTGGGTGCGTGAAAGGTCAGTGGCGTTAGATACACTTTTATTTCTTAACAAGGGAGGAAAGACTCTTCTAGATTTAAAGAAAAATAACCAAATGGCACACAAAAATTTTTAACTCCTTGGTTTGAAAAAAAGTATATATTCTTGGGACAACTGAAGAAATTTGTATACAAACTAGCTATTAGCTGTTGTTTGAAATTGTTAATTTTAGGTTCAAAATCAGTACTATGGTTTTCTATAAGAACATTCTTATTCTTAGGAGATGCAAGAGTAGATTATAATACTTATTCTCAAGTGGTTTTTATAGAATAGGCTGAAGATTTTAGAAATAAAGGGTCACGGTAGCTTCCATTTACCCTCACATAGTTCTGGTTTACAAGAAATCCACACCGCCACACGCACAGATGTGGCAAAGCGCTGGGTGTGGGGTCTGGGAGGAGGGAGTGTGAGTGTCCACTGCACTTCTCCTTCAATACTTCTGTATGTCTGCAAATTTCACAACAAACAGTTAGAAAGGGTTTTTTAAAAAACTGGCCGGCTATTAAAAGATTAAACTTCTGAGAACAGAACAGCCTATTATTCTCCTTTAAAAAAAAATCCTGAGCCAAGGGATCCCTACAATGCATAATAGGACTAAAGAAACCATTAGCTAATTGAGTGACAGACTTAAGCACACAAGGAGGCTGAAAGCTAAGTGTGGCTGGAAAACATACTGGAATCTCAGTTATAAATAGCGATCTCAGCCACCTCACCCCTGGGCCCTCTGGTTTCACTACAGCCGCACTGACGACTCTACAAAGGCCCTTTCTCCTCCAGCATGTCTTTCTGGTAGGAGGCACTGCTCAAAAATCAAGAAACACACAGGGCCTGGGGCTGTGGCACGGTGGTGGAGCATGTGCTTGCCAGGTGTGAGGTCCTGGGATCCATCCCCAGCACCAAGGAGGAAAAAAAGAGACAGAAAAAGACTCATGAAGAAGTGAAGGTAGCAAGGCAGTTTCCATAACTGAGTACCACAGGAAGCTCACCATCGCTCCCAGCCTCAGCAAGTCCTGCTCTAGCTGGATTCTTTCCGTTCGAAGATGTTCACTGAATGCCTACTGTATTACAGTCATCCGCAGGAACAAGACAGACTCAAATCTGTGCTCCTAGAGCATTTAGTGTATTGTAGTCGGAAGGAAACAGACAACAAGCAATTAAAAAAAAAAAGCAAACTGTTTAATCTGTTGGAAGGTGGCAAGTAC